GCTGGAATAGAGATTATTGAATTTTAGAAAAGGCGGGATAATTCAATGAAGGGTGGTGCCGTGGTGGCAGAACTGCAATCTTGATACTCTATTGCGCTTTGTGCTATGGTAACCTACGTAACAATTTTCATATGATAGTTATAATTTTTGCACATTCAAAGTACACATGAAATAACATAACGCACCCAGATTTGGAAACCATAATTGCTCAAAATATATATATATATATATATATTCATATTTTGTATCACAGAGTATAATTATGCTCTGTAATTATGCCATATTGACCTAATTTGTATAGTCCATTTACGGGCATTGTTATTAGGTATTGATCGTGTCGATTTTGCTGGCTGGGAGGATGTTGGGAATGTAGTCCTAACATTGGCATGCAGCCTGATGCAGGATCGTACTGTTGACGTACAGGTTCATACCCTACTTGCCGCAACCAGTCCAGTCATTCATTAGAAGGCACCGATGGCACATCTAAAACCATGTTGCCTTCTTTAGTTCTGTAATTCATGTCTGATTGAATTGTGATCTATGAATGAATATTCATTACTGTGCTGACTCTTAGAACCTGAGAGTCCTGGAGTTGACGCGTTAGCAATATAGTTAACTCATATCCAACCACAACACAATGTGGATACAAGTTTGTGTGTACAGTCACGTCGGTCAGTGTGATTAGGTACGTAATTTGTGTTGCCTCGCGTCCATATTTAAACTATTTTAGCTTTCTAAAAGTATGGCGCATTTTTTACCGGCATAGAACGGCGCACCGCGCAGGTTGTTAAAATGACAATGTAAATTTCCGCACACCTGGCACATCTTCCTGACCATGGCCTGAGCCAGGCTGAGCCCTATGACGAAGACTAAGGTGGTGATATATATGACCATGATTTATTTGTATGTATTACATACTACATAGTATTTTTTGCACAATGTAAATAATAACTAAGAATCAGGCAATGTGTACCTATTATGTGCATAGTGGCAAAGCAGAGAGTTTTTTAGACTCTCCCTCAACTTGCCTCAAGTTTGTTTTTGAGTCCTATAATTAGACCAGTAAAGTACCGTATCATGGATACCAGCATTATCATACATAAGAAATTTGTTCAAATCTTGAGTTAATGAGGAAATTAAAAATGAACTGATTCTAAAAAATCTCTGGTTTACCACTATGATTATGCAGGGGAGGAAAACATCGACTCTGTGAGCCGCAACTGGATTATTTCAGCCGTGAACTAATGAATTTTCAAGCCGTAAGCCTATTTCTCAAGCCGTGGAAAGCCATTCTTGAACCGCGAACTTGCAAACTCTTGGCGGCAAATGGCCAAATTATGTGTATAGCCAGACTTATTGTATCCTAGTCAGTGGTTTCTGGCATGAAATATATCTACTCGGCCATAGTGACAAACCAGAGATTTTTTAGAATCAGTTCATTTTTAATTTCCTCATTTACTTAAGATTTGAACCAATTTCTTATGTATGATAATGCTGGTATCCATCATCCATGATACTTTGCTTGTCTACTTATAGGACTCAAATTGAACTTGAGGGAGAGTCTAAAAAACTCTCTGCTTTGCCAAATTGCCACTATGTACTCGGCAAGCCACGACTGAATTTTTCAAGCCGTGCTTTTATGGAGTTGCCAGCAGTGATTCCATTTCTTCAAGCCGTGATTACATTTCACCGAGCCGTGAATTCCATATCTCAGCCATGAAAAGCCATTTACGAGGTGCAAATTTATATACAAAGTCCATCAGTCCATGCTAGTATGGAATATATCTACTTGGTGAGCCGCGAGATTTCATACCTACTGAAATTATATGATATTAGAGCCGCGATATTTCAGACAAAAATAGGACTTTTCCAGACTAGAGTCCATGCACGTGTTACCCCAAATCTTGAATTTTACCCCAAAACATGCAAACTGCAACAATAAAATTTGTCTTTACTGTAAGTTGAGCACGTGATGGTGTTAATGCAGTTATTGCAGTCTGACCACTTTGACATGACCGCAACTATGAGCGATCTTCAACAAAAGGTTTAGTTGATTTCTTTACATTACAATGTTTATGTTTTTTCTGCAAGATATTTTGGCGGGAATGGTAAAGCAATGTGGATTGCGCAAGTTGAAAATTTTATGAAATGATATGTTTGCGAAGTGCAAACCGCGATTTTTCAATTGAATAAAAATTTATGACATTCAAGCCGCAAGATTTCATAGCTACCTACTGAAATTAGCCTATATGATATTAGAGGCTTTAGAGCCGCAATATTTCAGACAAAAATAGGACATTTCCAGCCCTGAATTGTGGTTTCTGGTTAATTAAATGCCCCTATAAATTTCCACACTATTAATTTGTTAAATAAACGACTAAGTCACTAAGGCACAGTCACAGTGGCACTGTTGCTTGTGTGGTAGAATTACTAGAATATAGATGAATCATTAAGAACACTTCAAACTTTAGCCAGTTTCCACTTTTCTGTAGTACTGTAGAGTGTAGACTATTGAGTATAGTAGAGTCTTGACTAGACTGTACTCAGTGTACTGTAGTCTCACTACTCACTAGTCACTTCTGAGTCTGACAGTCTGACACTACCTAGGTAGTCTGTACTCGGTAGCCTAGCACTGTAGGTACTCCGTACTCTCAACTCTGTATACCTACTTTTTCTCAAAAACTTCAAATCGTTCGCAATGTCAAATTTAATTATTGGAAAATATAAAATTAAAATCCGTAGCCTGCATTGATACAAAAGATGCTAATGCAAAAAGTTTACCTTTGAGACCCAAACCTGCTCAAATAAACTTAAACTCGAGCATAACCGTAATAAAACGAGACTACGATAGTCCAAACCAAAACAACTGCGACACCAACTAAATTGCGGAAAGCAAACGTTTCGAATATATTTCTTTTTATCAAATTTACAAGAAAAAAAGCAACATGAACAGACATTTTGTCCCCATTACCACGAAATTCTACTTTTCCCCTCTGCTTCAACGTGTCATTTTGCATTCTTGAACTTGTACTTCATAATAGTCTAAATTAGGTCAAATCTGTCGTTTTTCAAGTCGATCACATCAAGTTCCACTGACACGTCTGCGCCTGGGAGCTACTCGGCTCACCTTTTCACGGGACGACAGCCTGCACACTGCCCCTCCTGCGGCCTAAGATGGACTGCCGCCCACCTACTATTAGAATGCCCTCTTGGCCTCTGCTACTGCAACCAAAACTGGCCCTTTGACCAACACTGCAAAGAGATGGACTGGCCTTTCACACTGACATCTCTACCAAGAGATGATTTTCCAGCTGAGACACTAGTTATCTTTTTGTCAAAGACGGACATCATTGACAAGCTCTAAAGAAGAATACCACAAGCTCTGACTAAAGCACCAAATGCCCAAGAAGGCTGGTGCTAAAATATTCAACTATTCATTAAGTCGCTTCGATAGATTTAATTCCTAATAATATTCATACTATGCTGACACGAGATACAGCATGATCGTAACATAGTTCTGCTTATTAAAAATATATAGTTGGAAGTTACACAATTTTTATGGCAATAGAACATGCGAATGCATAGTTGACTATACGCAAGAGTTCATTTGTTCATTGACTGCTAGATGGTGTCCGCTTAAACAGAACAGATCAGTACATTTGTACCTCGGATGGGGAATCAACTTCAATTTCGATGAAATGATTGCCTGGGAGCTACGACTACTAAAGTTTTTGACCTCAATACCTAATCAATCAAGCTCGTCTTAATAATCAGGTGACAATTTTTCCGAATGTTGTCATGGAACATCAATGGCTCTCGACTCCATGCTGCATTTATCGTATAATGTTTGAAAATGATCAAGATGAACTCAAGGATCAAATTAGAAAGATGAAGCGACAGTTGAAATGCAATGTTTGGCCATCAACAGAGATGCAGAGCAGTTGAACAGAGTACGTAGTAAACATGCGTCCGACGCACGTCATGGCGGACTGAACTTATCGACGGCTCGTAACGCTACAAGAATGCGATACGTGCCACGCACATGTGAGGTACGTGTAAGATAAAGCCCAAACTTATGATAGGAAATTTGGTTTATTGAGTAACAACCACAGATACTGCAAAATAATTAATCTTCCAACGTATAGGCAACACAAAAATATACATATACACAAATTAGTAAAGCATCATTCATACGTATTTATATATATATATACAAGGCAAACACCGACATATTCAGGCGGTACACTTTGTACAGAAGTCAAGGTAATGGCACTTCATATTGCGTCGGAAAAATTAACGCTATTTTGTGAACGGGTAACATTTTCTGACGATTATCGTTTCTTAATTAACTAAGAGTATTACAAGCTGTTCGCCAACTCATCGAACGACAGTCGTAAGTACTACGATGGTCATATGTACCAGAATGGTCATAAATATTAGGATGGTCATACGTGCTAGGATGGTCGTAAGTACCACGATGCTCATAAGTACTAGGATGGTCGTATGTGCTAGAATGGTCGTAAGTGCTAGGATGGTCGTAAGTGCTAGGATGGTCGTAAGTACTAGGATGGTCGTAAATACTAAAATGGTCGTAAGTGCTAGGATGGTCGTAAATACTAGAATGGTCGTAAGTGCTAGGATGGTCGTAAATACTAGAATGGTCGTAAGTGCTAGGATGGTCGTAAATGCTTAAATTGTCGTAAGTGCTAGAATGGTCGTAAGTGTTAGAATGGTCTTAAATGTTAGAATGGTCGTAAGTACTAGAATGGTTGTTAAGTGCTAGAATGGTCGTTAAGTGCTAGAATGGTCGTAAGTGCTAGAATGGTCGTAAGTGCTAGTCTAATGGTCGTAAGTGCTAGGATGGTCGTAAGTACTAGAATGGTCGTAAGTGTTAGAATGGTCGTAAGTTCTAGGATGGTCGTAAGTACTAGGATAGTCGTAAGTGCTAGAAGTGTCGTAAGTGCTAGAATGGTTGTAAGTGCTAGAATGGTCGTAAGTGCTAGAATGGTCGTAAGTGCTAGAATGGTTGTAAGTGCTAGAATGGTGGTAAGTGCTAGAATGGTCGTAAGTACTAGAATGGTTGTAAGTGCTAAAATGGTCGTAAGTGCTAGAATGGTCGTAAGTACTAGGATGGTCGTAAGTGCTAGAATGGTCGTAAGTACTAGGATGGTCGTAAGTACTAGGATGGTCGTAAGTGCTAGAATGGTCGTAGGTGCTAGGATGGTCATAAGGTCCAGAATGGTTCATTAAGTCCACTGCGGTCATCACAGTAACCATCCCCACTGCGGTCATCGTAAGCCTTTTTGTGCATGCGGTACAAATTCATCACAGTTTTGAGATCATCGTTGCAGGGAACTTCAAAACATCTGCTTTGAGAATCCGGCCCTCACCCGCGGGCCCGTTTGGAAACCTCGCCCGCGACCCCGTTTGGAGCCCTCAGCCGCATGCCCGATTTAAGGTCTCACCCGCGGGCCAGTTTGGGGTCCTAAACCGCGGGCCCGTTGGGAGCTCTCACCCACGGGCCCGTTTGGAGCCATCACCAGCAAGCCCGTTTGGAGCCCTCACCCGCGGGCCAGTTTGGAGAAATACCTCGCGTTCCCGTTTGGAGCCCTCAACCGCGGGCCAGTTTTCAGCCCTCACCCGCGGGTCAGTTTGGAGAAATACCCCACGTTCCCGTTTGGAGCCTTCAACCGCGGGCCAGTTTTGAGCCCTCATCCGCGAACCCGTTTGAATCAATACCCCGAGTTCCCGTTTGGAGCCCTCAACTGCGGGCCCGTTTGGAGCCCTCACCCGCGGGCCAGTTTGGAGCCCTCACCCGCGGGCCCGTTTGGAGTCCTCACCCGCGGGCCCGTTTGGAGTCCTCATCTACTGGCCCGTTTTGAGCTCTCACCCGCAGGCCCGTTTGAAGTCCTCATCTACGGGCCCATTCAATCGCCGAGGAGCGTTCTGACTCGCGGGTCGTGCGTGCCCACGCACTTGTCACGCATGAACCAGTCGTAGATGTCATAGGTCTTGCGTGGTTCGTGTTGTGAGTGAAGCTTTTCACAGAGCGCGCACCAGCTGACGTGGTGGTCCATGGACCAGCTGTAGCTGTCGCGCCACCTGAACACATCATCCTGAGGTGAGAAGCCGCGGGATTCGGCAGCGCAGGCGCTGGCTGACATATTGACCTAATAAACCCCCTAGATGGACTAGCTTTTTAATACCTACTTAAACCAGCATCTGCCTCTTGCAAATGTTACCAAAGGTACATACTTAAACCAGCATCTACCTCCTAAAAATGTTATCAAAGGTACCTACTTAACCTACTTAGGAGGTAACATTAAGCAAAGGTGCCTCTTACAAATGGTAACAATGGTACCTACTTGAACCAACATCTACCTCGTACAAGTGTTATCAAAGATGTCGGCTTCAGAAAAAGCCCCAGGAGTCTACTCTGCAGTTCCGGTTACCCCACCTCGTAGCCCCGCACTTCTGATGGACGGCATCACACTCACCGGCTCCTATTGAGCAGCTGTGCCGGAAATTACCGCCCGCAACGCAAGTGTCGCTAAGATTAACAGAGTCCCTCCGTATCCCGGCATGGAATGCTAGGTGAAACTGCCAGGTAGTTAGTCCCTCGTGCTCAGTATTGATTGGTTGTTCCCATGCAAAGAGGTTTTCAATGGTCTCTCTCCTAGTCCTAATATTCCAATATTTTTTTATTAACGCCAGAAAAACAAATAAATCTTCTATTCCGCTATCTTATTTGGTCGTTTAGTCATTTTAAAAACTAGAAATACACCCTGACGAGGATGTTTCACTTTCTCGCCCCTTTTTCTGTACATTATCTTCCAAGAACCTACCTGAAGTGGGCGAGGTAGGCGCTGGTGTTGCGGCTGAGGTACAGCAGATGTTGGGCGAGATCCCGCGCAGAAGGGAAGGCCAACGCGTCGATGTACGACCCCGGGGGCGCCACCGCCTCGTATGGCCCCAGGCCGTACACCACGGGCACGACGTTGTACCTGCAGGAGAGGAGGCATGAAGCGAAGTAACGAGAACCTCCACACATCACAACCCTTATATTCTTGCCTATCATTTATACTTACCGGATGTTCCTCACTCCTTAGCAATGCCGGTAATCAATTGTTTCTAACACATGATATAAACACGCAGCTCTACACCTCCACGCAGCTCTACACCTCCACGCAGCACGCAGCTCTACACCTCCACGCAGCACGCAGCTCTACACCTCCACGCAGCTCCACACCTCCACGCAGCACGCAGCTCTACACCTCCACGCAGCTCTACACCTCCACGCAGCACGCAGCTCTACACCTCCACGCAGCACGCAGCTCCACACCTCCACGCAGCACGCAGCTCTACACCTCCACGCAGCACGCAGCTCTACACCTCCACGCAGCACGCAGCTCTACACCTCCACGCAGCACGCAGCTCTACACCTCCACGCAGCACGCAGCTCTACACCTCCACGCAGCACGCAGCTCTACACCTCCACGCAGCACGCAGCTCTACACCTCCACGCAGCACGCAGCTCTACACCTCCACGCAGCACGCAGCTCTACACCTCCACGCAGNGTTTTATTGCCGGCAGATCCTGCACCACTAACTTATTATCTACGTTGAACGATTGGACTCGCCTGCTGGACGAAAGGGAGCCAGTGGATGCATTGTACCTCGATTTTGCCAAATCATTTGACAGTGTTCCGCATGAGCGGCTGTTGCGTAAAGTGAAGTCCTTGGGAATTGAGGGAAACATACTCCAATGGATCAGAGATTTTCTAGTAGGTAGACGACAACGTGTCAGTACAACGTGTGATTTGCTGTGTGAGGTTGGTCATTGTTATGAATAAATTGTCATTCTTGACTCATTCAAATGGGAGATTTTCCCACATCCATCCTACAGTCCTGGCTAGCAACAGAGAGTTTTGATGACAAAAACAAGCTGTGGGCGTGCATCACTGGGTAGCTGAGATTGCAGGCAGCAGATTTTAGTGATGGAGGAATTCTGAAGCTTGTCCACTGCTACTATACCGTAATTGCCTTAATTTGTTTGGTGACTATGAAGAAAAGTTTCATTTTAGTCACACCATCAGATGTATAAATAATATATTTCTCCTATACATAGTTTTTGTTTAATTACAAGCATTCCCTAGTTTCTGAATAGCCCTTGTATATTAATTTTCTTTATGGCAGTAGCTCCTAGAAAATTTTTACAAATAGACTTCATTACATACTTGTAATCAGGGCTGGAAAAGTCCTATTTTTTCTGAAATATTGTGGCTCTAATATCATATAATTTCAGTAGGTATGAAATCTCAAGGCTCGAATGTCATAAATTTTTGTTTGATTGAAAAAAACAGCAGTTTGCACTTTGCAAACATGTCATTTCATACAATTTTCCACTTCTGCAATATGCATTACTTTACTGTTACAGCCAAAATATCCTGCAGAACGGAATCATCATAATGTAAACAAGTCAACCTAAATGTTTCATTAAAGATTGCGCATAGTTTCGGTCACGTCAGACTGCATTAACATGTGTTCAGCTTACAGTAAAGACAAATGTTATTGTTGTCATTTGATGGTTTTAGGGTAAAATTAGAGATTTGGGATTAACACGTTGACTACAATTGCTTCATCTTGTACTTTTTTTGAGCAGGGTTACCCAACGGTCATTTTTTCCAGACAAATTCCATGATTTAGTTTTCTCAATTGCATTGGCCGGCTAAAATTTATGATAGGGGTACTTCCTATTTAAATTTTAAATACTGCAAAAAGAAAATAAATGGAATTTTTATAGCAGAACCTACAAATAAACTAGTATACATTGAATTATCGGCCTTTTTTGGCCTTTTTTGTTCCGGATTTGGCTGATTTTAGGCAACCTGAATTATGTACCCACTACCTCCTGGAGAAATACATTTCGTGGTACGCATATGTACCAATACGTAGTCAACGTGTTAACAGGTGTGTGGACTTTGTAAATAAATTTGCACCTCAGAAATGGCTTTCCATGGCTGAGATATGGAATTCATGGCTCAAAAGAATGGAATCACGGCTCAAATAAATGGAATCACGGCTGACAAATCCATAAAACCAGGGCTTGAAAAAACCAGTATGTAAAAACTAAGTAGGTACCTATGTAAAATCAGGGCTTGACTTCATTACATACTCGTTCAGTACTCAGTAGGTATGAAATTTCATGGCTCTAATGTCATAAATTTTTTGTTTGATTAAAAAAATTGCGGTTTGCACTTTGCAAACATGTCATTTCACAAAATTTTCAACTTCCACAATCCGCAGTATATATACTTCCCAGTCCCCCTTCCTGCCAAAATACCATGCAGAATATAATAACATCAACAACAAGTCAACCAAAACATTTCCTTGAAAATCACATAGTTGTGGTCACGTTAAAGCGGTGAGACTGCATTATCACTTGTTCAGTTGCCACTTAAGTGAAGACAAATGTTAATGACTTTTTTAGGGTAAAATTAGAGATGTGAGCTAACACATCATGCATGTGACTTTGTAATTAATAAGTTCACAGCCTGTAAAATGCTTTTCACGGCCAAGATATGGAATTCACGGCTCAAAGAAATGGAATCATGGCTAGTAAACCCATAAAACCATGGCTCAAAAAATCCAGTCATGGCTTGCAAAGTAGATATATTCCATCATGCCTGGTAGGACTAGGCTGGTATAGTATGGTATCTTTGGTGTTGAACTTGAAGGATAGGCCTGTTGTCAATTCTTGTACTTTTCTTGACTAGCCAACTCCTGTACTTTTCTTGCTTGCACTTATCATGTTTCATTTGAAATTCTTAACAGCATTGAAATCCATGTGGAAACATTAATTTCTATTATTTAGGAATCAAATGACTTAAAACATGACTTTGACAAGTTTGATAAGTACTTTTATTTTGAAAATTTTTAAATTGCTTGCCCATTTATCCTTGGAACTTTTGCTGTTGTTTTTGACCAATGCTGTCTAATTTTTATTTGATACCTAGGTCATTGTGTCTTGTTAGAGGTGCCCAATCTGGCCCAAGCCTCAGGTGCCTGAGCTCTAAGACTCCAGGGGTGCAGAAGGTGGAAGCAGCGACGCCAATATATGGGTTTTTAAGCCCAAAACGTCACGGCTGTTGCCGACCATTTTCAAGATGCGTTGCTGGGTAATTTTTAATGAAAAGCCATTTACGCTGAGTAATGAAAAACTATTTACAAGCCACAAACTTATTTACAAGGTTGCATGCATGTGTTACCCCAAATAACTAATTTTACCATAAAAACAGTCCGATTGTTATTGTACAGCAAGTATCAACTGAACATGTGATGATGCAGTCTGACCGCTCTAATGTGACCTCAACTACATTTTGTTTACATTTTTTTGGCGGGAACTCATCGCAACCGCATAGTGACAGAGCAGAGTTTTTTAGACTCTCCCTCAAGTTCACTTTTGAGTCCTATAAGTAGACCAGTAAAGTAGCATGGATACCAGCATTATCATACTTAAGAAATTGGTTTAAATCTTGAGTTATTGAGGAAATTAAAAATGAACTGATTCTAAAAAAAGCTCTGGTTTGCCACTATGCGCATCCGATTTCCAGACAAGCTTTACTGCATCCTGATCCATCCAACATACCGGAAACCATAGTGACAAACCAGATATTTTTTAAAATCAGTTCATCTATAATTTCCTTATTTATTCAAGACTTAAACCAATTTCTTATGTAAGATAATGCTGGTATCCATGATACTTTACTGGTCTACTTATAGGACTCAAAAATGAACTCGAGGGAGAGTCTAAAAAACTCTCTGCTTTGCCACTATGCCGGAAACCTTACTTTTTTCTAAATAGTGTGCCAAAGACTGACAAATATATTAAATGCAAGAATCACAAGCTAAATGTGTCAGCAAGATCTTCTGAAGGCGTAAATTTTACTACTGAAGCGTCGCCAAAGATCTTGCAATATTCATCCACTCTCTGCACAGTGGCAGTAAGACTAAGGTGGTAATATATGTGAATAATGTGAGTGACCATAGTGGCAAAGTGAAAGTAGCAATTTTTTAGCATCAGTTCATTTTTAATTTTCTTACCTATTTACTCAAGATTTAAACCAATATCTTAAGTATGATGATGCTGGTATCTGTCCATGATACTTTGCTGGTCTACTTATAGGACTCAAAATTGAACTTGAAGCTGAAGGAGAGTCTAAAAAACTCTCTGCTTTGCCACTATATCAGTATATGATTTATGTGACCATGATTTATTTCTATGTATTACATACTACTACATAGTATTTTATTGCATAATGTTAATAATAATAATAATAATAATAACTAAGAATGAGGCAATGTGTATTGTGTAATGTGTATACCTATTAGGAATAATTAGGTGCCATAGGTGGTGTGGTTTCTGCTTTCTGGTTAATTAAATGCCCCTTTAGGCTTTAGATTTCCTGGACACTGTACTAAGGCACAGTGGCACTGTTGCTTCTGTGCCATACTGCCATCTGTGGTAGAATTACTAGAATATAGGTAGATAAATCATTAAGAACGCTTCAAACTTTTGCCAGTTTCCACTTTTCTGTATTACTGTAGGTATAGACTCTAGAGCGAGACTCACTCTGGTATTATTGCAGATTAACTACATCCAAAAAAAAGGGTGTTTTTTTTTTTTTTATTATATGTTTTTTGGGGTGTAGATTACGAATCTGAAATCCATTTTTGGCGGTCGGCATCGGTTCCAGAGCAGCATGATACTCACCGTGTTCCAGAGCAGCATGGTGCTGTACTCACCGTGTTCCAGAGCAGCATGATACTCACCGTGCTCCAGAGCAGCAAGGTGCTGTACTCACCGTGTTCCAGAGCAGGATGGTCTTGTATCCCGTAAGGTTGATGCTGCGGTGCGACACGTACGAGTGACGGAGCGACCCATCCACTCGCAATGAGTACTCCAATCTGTGCAAGTAACGCCTTCACTCCACATTGAGTAAATAACCTTACAATCATAAGAACTGACACGCTCCTAGCTAAAGTTTATTT